TTAAACAAGGTATAAATTTCTACACCTGTTCAAAAGAATGGGGAGGAGTGTGAACCGGATAATAGCCAAACTTATCTACTCATATTAGGAGAGGGCAAATAATTGACGAATAAAATTCCAGGGTTTAGACGGAGACGTTAGGAGTATAGAGTATAGAACTGGAAGCCGGATCCTAAACAGGGAACAAGTGTTAAAACGCTACTCCTGTTCAAAAGACCGACGAGGAGTGTGAACCGGGCGATAGGTGAACCTATCTACTCCGAAAAGAGAAAGTTTAGAAATAATAAAGATTTTCTTAACTCTAAAATTTTCGACATTTTCAGCAAGGCAACTATTTTCTGAAGTTTCTTTTTGTCATTATACTAATTCCCACTTGAATTTCCTACTTTGAACATAGCTACATAGTGGTGATCATGAGATTTTTTCTAAGCATTCAACCCCAAGCAAGGGCGGGAAGCCACTAGCACGCAAAAGGTTTCAGAGTAGGAGCGAGAACAAAGACGAGTGATAAAGGAAAGGATGGGGAGAAGGATAGGGGATAGATCAAGGCAACTGGGGACGTCGATTGACATTACATTTGAATAGTTGGAGATTATAGTTATCAGGAAAACAAGAAATGGGGAGGGAGTTCTACAGGCGAGAAGTGCGAGACATGAAACTATTGGAGTAGAAGAGAAGCCTACATTTAACAGTTTCGACAGTGAAAGGGTGAGAGCGGGATGCCAGCCTAGTTGAATGTTTAAATTCATGAAGTCTTGGAACCAGCGAAAGCAGCTCATCGGAGCAATTACCGTGAAAGTATTTGTAAAAAAGACAGAGGGAGGCAACGGTACGTCTGTGAGAGAGCGGCTGCAGACGAGATGCCAGATCAGAGCCAATTACATTGCATACCCGTCTCTGGTTTTTATCAAGAACCTTGAGACAAACATTTTCTAATGTATGAATGAAAAATAATCATTATTAATTCAGCAAATTTACCTTTTTTGTTTTACCAGTTTTTTTAAATAGTTTGTTACAATTTTAAGAAAATGTATTAGATCAGATTATTTGACTTATTTAAATACTTGCATAATTTATTTTCGGATCCATTCGACAAATTTTTATAATGAGAAATAGCAGACAAAAACAATGCTTATTATGAACGCCGTAGATCTTCTACCTTAGAATTTTGACAAAACAGATATTAATTCTTTTGATACAAACACGATGAATTCTTAAATAAAAGTTTTTAAAAAAATTGAATTAAGCCTAAATGACACGGAAGAAATATTTTAATGCTTTTAAAAAATATTATGCAAATTAAATACTACCGTTAATGTTGCAAACGTTATTTGTTAACACCATAAATAAAAGCTGATAAGTATTCATTGCATATTAACAGTGTAGTTAGTTTTGGTGGGGCACCGTGAAAAAATTTAGCCCTATGACAATTTATAAAAGATTTTTCACCCAATATAAAGCTCAAGAGCCACTCAAGGTAGCGGGTTACTAAATGAGATTGATTTAAAGGCGTACAAGGAGACAGTAAGAGTTAAGACGATAAACTACATCCGCGTCCTGGTTAAGATTATAAACTACGTCAGGCAGCAAGGCTTTTGATCAGGAGGTTTTGAGTAGCGTGGAACCATCTCTTTATTTGCTTCTGTTCCAAGGTCCACCCTGACCTGGTGTGGTAGTACCTGTTAGGGTCCCAACTATAGGCAAAAAGTTAACCCCCAAACTGGGGTGAAAACACTATGTAAGTGTAAAAATAGGTTTTCATACCAGTAATACATTTGTATAAAAGATTATTACTGGCAATAAAGTTTTGAAGAAAAAATTATTACCAGTAATACATTTTTGAGGAAAAACTATTGCCCTCTATACATTCTTGTAGAAAAAATATATTAGCGTCAATACATTTTTTGAAAAAATATTACCAGCAATAAAAATCTTGTCGGCATTAAATAACCCATTGAGGTGTTGATATGCCGTAAAAACAAAACAAAACAAAACAAAGAGAGTAAGGAGTGTATTTATCTAGGATAGATAACGGTTGAGCATGAATTTGGAGAGGCTAATGTTGTAGTGATCGGAAGCAATCGTTCTGGGGGTTCATAAAAGTAATAGTTCTGGGGAAAAATGTCTTAATGTAACTTCCTCTTTTCCAATGGAATACGCAGGGAATGAAGTGTACGTGGCCAAGACGGGTTCTAGCGGTGAACGTTTGAACGGTAATACTCCAATGATGGTCTGATTTCCGAATTGATAACATTCAAAAGGTTGTTTTCTCAATATAAGGTGCTTGTGGGTTCGTAACCTCCAAAAGAGATCTTTACTTTGTTAAGACTTTCATATCAACATCAGTTCTGGATGCCATGGACCAATATAATAAAAGAAGAAGCAGTACTTTCGGTGGAACTGTCGGTAATTGGAATGTTCAAAATTTACGTTATTGCTGGTAATATTTTTTTTCAAAAAAATGTATTGCTGCTAATATATTTTTCCCCCAAAATGTATAGAGGGCAATATTTTTTCTTTGAAAATTTATTGCTACTAATAATTTTTTACACAAAAAAAAAACTTTCATCATATTAAGCTTTTTATATTAAGAATGCTAAAAACGCAGTTGAAATTTAAAAAAAAAAAAGGGGGGTATTTATGTAGTTCATGGATAAGGTACCGTAGATAATCGAACGTGTCAAAAGTGGTTTGTAAAGCTCCGTGCTGGAATGTTCTTGCTAAACGAAGTCCTACAGTTCGGTAAAACAGATGAGATTGAATTCGATCATATGAAAACATTGTCTGCGAATAATCAATAAGAAAGAGATAAGATAACATTCAAAATCTTGGAAAATCATTTGCACCAATTTGATAACGTTTTGTTACTTTGGCAGAGTTTAACACGCATACCCGCAAAAAACGGCATTTGTCAAAAGGATGTTTTTTTCTTGACACTGCTATTATTGTCTATTCCAGTGGTTCCCAACAGATTTTAAGGCATGGCACGTGGAACTAGACCAATCTACAATCTGTGTGTGTGTGTGTGCGTGTGTGTGTGTGTGTGTGTGTGTGTGTGTAACGAATGCACGGCCGCAATTTTCGACGGATTTGCACCAAAATTTACATGCACATGCTCCAAGTTAGCGGGAAGGCCAAGACCGACTTTGCATTTCCCAACTCCTATCGATAGTGGAAATAATCAATTTTTTCATGCTTCTATGGCAGTTTTCATGTAGTTTGCGGCCATTTTCTACTGGCCAGAGTGAGAGCCTATAGCTGGCTGCCAAGAATAGGCAGGAAGATTCTATTGGCCAGCGTGAGAGCCAACAGCTCACTGACACGAATGTTAACTAGCATGCAAAAAAATCGATGGCTGCATTCATCACAAGTGGGAAAAATTTAAATCTGCATGGCACTTTACTCCAATTGGCTCATTCGCTTGCTTAAACTCAACGTTGATTCTGATTCCGCAGAACTGGGTTGGGTGTGAAAAAGTATTTGTTGTTAACATTCTTTTTTCATTCGGTTTTTCCAGTCACGAGTCCTTTTTTAAAGCTGATCGTTTTGTGTTCATTTTGTTTAGTTCTTTTTTCGTAACAGATTTAATGTTTAGTATGTAGCTTAAAAAAATTCGCAGTGTGAAGTAAGGCATGTAGCAACATCAGCACGGCAAGGGGCACTCTTTTAAAAGCAAGGAAGGTCAAAAATATTTTAAGTCAAGTGATAGCGATTGCTGTATGAGTCGTACGATTTTTGAATCAAGCACAGGCAACGCCGGGCCATGCTGCTAATATCACCTAAAGGAGGCCAGAGCATACAACGGCCGAAACCTCGTGAATATGACAATAAAGATTAAAACAACAGTCTGAATAGTGTAAATAAAATTATTCTTGTAAATAAACAATCTAATAAACAAATAGCGTTTAACATCTTTGTTGTCAGTTCTAATGAAAAATATATTGAGGTATGTTAGATGCACGTTGACATGACAATAGACAAAATTTAATCAAAGGCAACCATGTCTTAATTAGATTACTTAAATCTAATCGCCTCGTACGTTACCTAATCCATCGTAGGTTCAACGATAAACTATATCCGCGTCCTACGGTAAGACGATCAACTACGTCCAACAGCAAGGCCCCTTTTGGGAGCATGGAACCACTTCTTAATTACTAGTCAAAAATTAATAATGGCTGACAATGCTTCATCTAATAAAAATTCAATAATACCTCATTTCCATTTAAGCAGGCTGTAAACACTTGTCGATTGGAGCAACACAATCATTCTAATCTTATCTGGTTCCGCTCCACACAAATTTAAACTTAGTACATATAAGAATTTTGAATGCTGCTTTCCCATGTTAGCAGGAACCCTTGTTCGATTGGCGCAACACAGTCACTATAATCCCATTTGGTCCTGCTCCAAACAAATTTAAACTTAGTGTATATTAGAATTTTGAATGATGGCTTAGCTTTGCAATAAAATAGGCTTAGGATTTGGAATTTCCCTGTCCTTGTACCATGCTAAGTTAAGCTTACTATACAATCTTACATTAGGCTATGATATTCAAACGATTCACTTGACTGGTTTGCGTTTGATTAAAGAGCTTCCATTCGCATATTCTAATCAACGTCCACGCTATTCGATGTCCCTCACCATTGTTACTTCAATCTGAACTTCTTTTTTTTTTGCATCGAACAGACCCAACCTTTTTCCATTTAAAACCATTTGCCACTTTTCTTTTCAAAAGCCGATATATTGGACACAAAATGTTATAAAGTCTCAACAATTATAAATGAAAGAGGAAAGACACTTGAAGATTGCGATGAGTGGCAACGAAAAGGCGGGTAAAAAGTGCCGGTACGTGCCCAGCCTCCTCTTCTTTCAATAACGATTGGATGACGTCATTCGGCTGTCGTCTGTTCGCCATAGAACATTCTAATGACGGCCATTTTTATACATCAAAGCGGCCATTTTGTTTGTGATGTCTGATAGCTTTTGTGTGTTTGATTGACTGAATGTTACTGCTTCGAACAGCAGCGCGCATTTTCACACGAACTGAGAAGGAATGTATGCGTTTTCGTATTTCTTCTTTTATTTTCTTCTTACTTTTTCTTCTTTTTATATTCGATGTTATTTTTGTTTTTGTTAATTCATTTTCCGTTCTTTTTTTTTTTTCGTTTTTCTCTTTTTTTTCAGTTTTTTCTTTTCTTCTTTATTATATTTTTCTCTTCTTTTATTTTTTTCTTTCTTCTTTCCATACTTGTACCTACTTTATATTTTCGTATCATTTCCCGATTTTTTTGGTTCATTTTATTTTTTTTCTTTATCGCTTTTTCTTTCTTTTTTTCTTTCTTTCTTTTTTCCTTCTTTCTTTGTCTCTTGTCTCTTATTTATTTATTTCTTTTATCGTTGCTGGTACGTTATTTTTCTTATATATTTTCCTTCTTTTTCTTTTCTTCATTTCTTTCTTTCTCGATGTTCTTTTTTTCTTCTTTCTTTGTATATTTTTCTTTCATTCGTTCAGTTAAATTTTTTTTAGTTTTTCTTCTTTGTATCATTGAGAATGCATTGTTTTCGCTATTTTTCTTTTTTTTCCTTTTATATTTTATTGTTTCTGTTTCTTCTTCCATTCCATTCTTTCTTTCTTTCTTTCTTTCTTTCTTTTTATCTTGTTCGTACGCTATTTTCGTTATATATTTTTGTTTCTTTTTTCTTTTCCTTACTACATTTTTCTTTCTTTTTTTTCATCTCTTCTGACTTCTATCTTTAGATTCTTTTTCACTTCTTTCTTCTTTCATTAGTATTTCTTTCTGCTTTTGTTATTGTTGATGGCGATTCTTATTCTTTCTTTCTTTCTTTCCTTCTTCCCTTATCCTCTTTTTTCTCTTTCTGTTCCTATTCTTTTCTCTTTTTTTTTTACTTTACATTCATTAGTCCCCAAGGCCGGAGGTCGCCGAGGTACCAACCCGACATTTACCATTCAGGGTATCTCAGAGACAAAGAGCCGGTTCGTTTATGGCGAATATCGTGATTTTCTACTTTTTTTTCTTTATGGTTTCAGTCACAAAGAAGAAAGACACGATTTTTACCCATTAACCATTATAGAATGTTAGAATCGAGATATTTGGTGATTAAACCAGCAGCAGGGAGTGGTGAATTCACGCTTTTCTCAAAATAAATAGTGCAAAGTTCATACAAACTGCTCGAATTGTGATTCAAGTTTGGTTCACCAATTTGTTTTCTGTTCTGATAACTGAATGTCATATCACATCTCATTTTTATGCAATAATAGCAATAAAAAAGATTTCTTACTTTAATCAAATCCACTTTCACTGTTGAGACATTACTTTCATTTTAGAGATAGTTCTCGGGACACATCAACAACAAGTTTGTTGTCAGATCAGAATATAGCACTCCGTTAAATATTAGCCAATCATATTCATTATTTTTTAGCCAATCATATTCATTATTTTTTAGCCAATCATATTCATTATTTTTTTAACCAATCATATCGTGATCTCCGCTTTTAATGAATTTTACGAATGGCGAAAAAATAATATTATAAATTAGAAAAAAATACATATAAGTATAGTTAATATGAAAATATCTCTAATTACTTAACAAAGAAAACGGCCTCTTCTTCTGTCTTTGTCAGGGTTAGGATTAATGTCCCTAGAATGTTCTAACCTAGAAAATCAAGTTACCTTTTAAAGGACATTTACTTTATTTGGAAGAACCTACAAAATTCATACAAATCGTTTGTGGGTGGATCATCAGAATAAGAATAACCTTCGCCAAAATGAGCAACCCACCAAAGAAAATGTTTAACAGAAGAAACGTGACGAAATCGATCATAAACGAAAATGACATGTTCATCATTAATTAATCATAGAGAAGGATCGGAAGCTAATGATGGATTGTTATAAAGTTCAAATATATGTTTATTATTCCAGGATCATGTTCCATCTTATTCAAGATGATCTTCGCCCTCTCTAACCTTCTAACCTTCTGTCCTGGAGTAACAAGGTGCCTCACAGTTTCCACGTACGATTTCAATTTCAAGGCTTTTTCACTGCTCTTTGGACTGTCATAGCTGAAACTGAATGTCTGAATGATTTTTATTCTTTCGCCATTGAGAAGACAGTGACTCTGACACAAAACGATTTTAACCTATCCTTTTTCTAGATGAATAACTCAAAGGGTTTTTTAATGATTCTTACGACTAATGGTATCAAGGTGGCTAAACGTCTTATCTGAAAACATGTAAAAAAAAAACTCAGTTTAGTGTTTTTTTACATATTAAACATTCTGTGAGATGGACGGTTTTACTGTTACCCCCAGTGTTTATATATATATATATATATATATATATATATATATATATATATATATATATATATATATATAATAATTATTTTTTTAAATATGATTCCTTCGTTACATAAGAGTTCTCATGTTTCAAAAGCAAGAGCCAAAAACCTCAATATAATTATTAAAATTAAATTGAATTAGTGTCAAGTCCTGTTTCATCCTCAAGCGAAAATTTAGGAATCCTAAATGTATGGATTTTTTTATGTATGTATCTAGATTTATAGGAATGTTTTATTTTACAAACACGGTCAGTACATTGTGGCCGTGTTCATAGTTGATATCATTAGTTGCTGGATTTTTCTTTTTTGTTATTAGTTTTTCCATTATTCTTAGTCATTTTTTAAATTTGGATGTGGCAATTATCATTTTACCTTCAATGACAATTTGCATAGCGTTCTCTTGTACATGCTACATTCCATTAATATCTCAATACATGTTCTAGATAAAAATGGTGAATCCCGGGCTGTTGCATTTTAAGACATTTTAATACATTTTAAGTCTTAAAATCTATTAAAATGTCTGAAAATGTATTAAAAATACATTTTAAGACATTTTAATACATTTTAAGTCTTAAAATCTATTAAAATGTCAAAATGTATTAAAAATACATCTTAAGATATTTTTAATACTTTTTAAGTTTTAAAATTTATTAAAAAATTCTGAAAATGTATCTAAAATGTCTGAAAATGTATTAAAAATACATTTTAATACATTTTAAGACATTTTAAGTCTTAAAATCTATTAAAAATGTCTTAAAATGTATTAAAATACATTTTGAGACATTTTAATACATTTTAAGTCTATTAAAATGTCTTAAAATGTATTAGAAATATATTTTAATACATTTTAAGTTTTAAGATTTATTAAAAATTTCTGAAAATTTATCTAAAATGTAAACTTCAATCTGCAAAAATTTAATGACAATATCAATTGCTATCTACTGTCCACCTGATTACTCTCTTTTCCTTCTGCTCATCAATAACTTTTCTATTTCTAATTTTTCCACGCCCAGTAACCCATTGTGTTTTAGTGTTGTTTGGTGTGATTCCGATTTAAAATAAAAAATTAAAAAAACTACCCTCAACTCTGAATAGCTCATTAACTTTTCAACCCCTTTACCTACAATGTAATGATCTCCAGCGAACATGCCCAACTGCATATGATCCACTTTGTTCTCTATTGTATACACATTTCCTTCCGGGTCCCAACCAGAGATCTAAGGTCAGAAGTGGCATCATGATATTTTCTACGGCACATTTATTTAAAAAAAATAAGACAACCTAAAAATATAGATATTATATATATATATATAAAGCTCTTCGTAGAGTGTAAGTTTATCGGGAAAATTGTTGGTATTTATTTAAGGCATGCGCTATCAGAGATCACTTCAGTTGGTCTATCAGAACCTTTCCCCATTAAACCTACCCGCCCCCAACCACAACTAGGATTATTAGAGTTTTCATACGCCTTATTTTGAGATTTCCATTTCAAGTTTTTTATTTTGAAGATCTTCTAAGCTACATTACAGTATTGCTGGCACTGCTATGTCAATAAAAAGGTACATGCCGTTTTTGTGGCCTTTGATTACGATGTGTGGGAAATTAGCTTTGATTATTCTGTCTGTGTGTATTCTAAATCCCATAAAATTATTACAGATCCTATGCCTGTGACCGGGTTTGCGTGAAGTTCATACCAGTTTCTTGCAGTTTCACTCCCGTAAAAGTCGCATATTTTCCAGTGAAGATCTTAGCCCATGCCGGGGTTTATATTTGGTGGATATTAATAATGTGCAACATGTTACAAGATGAACAATTGTTTTGGGATATTTCATCACCGAATCTGTATTTGGGAGTCAAAGAAATTTTTCAGTATGTTTTCTAGTTAGCAGCAAATTGGGTTCTATAGCCTTGGATGGCAACTGGTTTAGGAGAAGGGCAACTCTGAGTTCAAACCCAGAGTGGAGTCCCTACGGCGAATGGACGGCACTTTGTGCTACCTTCCGGCAACTCCTACTGTATTGGTTTATCCTCTCCTTTGGACTCTGCTAGCAAAGCCGAGAGGGGGAACTAGACGTCTGGGCAGCCCTAGTTCTCCATATAACACGCCCAGGCTCGTAGCACACCGCGCTACTCCATCGTCTCCCGAGACGGACGGATGCCGACGACGATACACTGGTCTGTGCAGCAAGAATATTATTATTATTATTATTATTATTATTTGTATATATGCATGTGTGCATCTGGGATACATATATACATAATCTGGGATCAGGTTTTATCATTATTTACACTATTTATATTCGGATTATTGTCCTCATCTTTGTTGTTGTTATCACAACGTTTCGGTCGTTGTTCCCTCCGGCCATCCTCAGGTGTATATTTCGATCTGGGTACCCTACATGGAATTCTGAACTGTACCCTTTATTTAATCTACGGGGTAGACTGTTCTGGTTCCACTACCCATGTCTAGGTATATCTCGTCGACTTCTTTTTTTTAGTACTGCTCAATTATTACTCGCCCTGTTTCCACGGAGTCCAAATACACACTGCCCGACTTAAGGATTGAACTTACAACCACTATGTCAACCACTTTTAACAAAACAACGCTTTATGAATTTTTATTGTTCTAGGCAGGTAGATAACAATTTTATTATCGTTTAGTTGTTAGTTTTAGGACTGCACGGTTATTGCTCACCTGTATCCACTCAGTCCAAATACACACTGGCTGATCCAGGAATTGAACCCACAAATAATATGTCACCAAATTTACGAACCAATTCTAGGCTATTAAATAAGATGAAGACAATAGTCCGAATATAAGTAGCGTAAATACATAATCTAATAATCATGTATAATATATTTAGATTAATCATGTATAATCTCAATACATTACACATGGACGAGGCGGCATTGGGAAGAACTGACTTTGAATCGTACTGAGTGGCGGCACATTATAAGGAAAGGGTGCAGCACCTTTGAATGTTATCATCTTAACTCCTCAACCTGCCAGCAATACCTGTATTGTTTGCAGATCATCTGAACTGAGGCGTCACATGGTGGTTTGGTTTGGTTTATGGCATATCAACCTCAATAGGTTATTTAATACCGACAAAATATTTATTGCTGGTAATATTTATTTTCCTAAAAAAAGTATTGCTGGTAATATTTTTTTCCCAAAAAAAGTATTGCTGGTAATATTTTTTACGAAGTATTTCAGGTATTAAAACTTAGAATTTTTTTGCACTTTCATAGTGTTTTGACCCCAGTTTGAGGGTTTAGCTATTTACCCAAAGCTGGGACCCTAACGGGTGCTACCACCACGAGTCAATGTGGCCCTTTGAACACCAGCAATTAAGAGGTGGTTCCACGCTCCTCAAAACCCCTGCTGTTGGATGTAGTTTATCGTCTTAGCCAGGACGCGGATGTAGTTTATCGTCATACCCAGGACCCGTCACATGGTGGAGAGTTGTAGATTATACAGATCCAATCAAGCCAATCAAGAATACAGTTTATCTGCCATATATGCCTGAGATCTATGAAATCGAATGCTGGATTCAAAAGTTATTTTAGGGTCATAGACGTCAAAAAGAAAGGGAAGCCATTACAAGTCATGCTAGGGATCAGGAGACGGCTCTTGTTTCAGTAAGTGTGGCAATCGCCA